CAATCCTATTCAATTTATTCATAAATGATCTGGAGAACGGGGTAAAAAGTGAGGTCGCAAAGTTTGCGGATGATACTAAACTGCTCAAGATAGTTAAAACCAAAGCAGACTGTGAAGAACTTCAAAAAGATCTCACAAAACTAAGTGATTGGGCAACAAAATGGAAAATGAAATTTAATGTGGATAAATGTAAAGTAATGCACATTGGAAAAAATAACCCCAACTATACATACAATATGATGGGGGCTAATTTAGCTACAACAAATCAGAAAAAGATCTTGGAGTCATCGTGGATAGTTTTCTGAAGATGTCCACGCAGTGTGCAGAGGGGGTCAAAAAAGCAAACAGGATGTTAGGAATCATTAAAAAGGGGATAGAGAATAAGACGGAGAATTTATTATTGCCCTTATATAAATCAATGGTACACCCACATCTTGAATACTGCGTGGTCTCCTCATCTCAAAAAAGATATACCCAGGGAGCTGCCTCTGTCCTGGGCACCTGAGGCTAAGCAGAGATGTCACTGTAGTTCCGGGAGCCACTGAATTAGTTTCTCAGTTTCACGTGAAGCAGAGGCTTCACTTGAGCCTCAATGCGAACGCTCCATTCCCAGCTTCAGAGACACAGCAGAGAAAGTTTTAGTGATGAGTGAGCAGAGGAGGCAGGTACCAGTCAAGCTCCCTCCCATAAATGCAGCCTCCACACTCCCAGCTCAGAGAACAGAGAGGAAGGTGCAGCACTGGGGAATAGCCACTTAAGACCTGAGAGTAGGAGGTGGCATTGGGTGGGGTGGCTCCATTCCCAGTGCAGAGAGAAGGGAGGGGGGCCAGTACCATAGGCAGAGCATCTCCCCAATCCAGGAAGCAGTGAGCAGCTCCATTGGGAGAGCCCAGCCCTGCCCAGAGGAAAGGCAGGATGTTGGAGAAGAGCGATGGGGAGACCCCCTGCACTGGGGTAAAGCAAAGGGATGTGTCAGCCCTCAGGGCAGAGAGCTCTGTTCAGGTGCTGCTCAGTGAGAGTGTTTCTGTTCAGCAGCTGCATGAACTCAGCATCAAGGTTGGTGTCAGGAGTGTCTGTGTGACTCCAGCCTGGGATCTCCTCACTGTTCAATGTGTGCATTTTTAGGGCTGTGTGTGTCATGGTCACTGTCAGTCGGTTGGTAACTTTAGATACAATCTCATGAAGCTGTTTTCTTTGGAATTTTCTCAGAATTTAAAGCTAATCTCCACCTGCAATCTCACCCAGTCTGAGTGCTCCTCTTCTTGTCTCCAGTGCAGATGGCAGAGAGCCTGGAGGGAGAAAGGAGAAAAGAGAGATGAGATTTCAGGCTTTCTTATTTATAACAGCATCCCCCATGCTGAACTCATAGAGCTGTGCTTTCAGCATGGCAGAGAAACAGACAGAGAGGCCCAGAGACACACTCAGGTATTTAATATAAAGTCGTCTGTAAGCCTTCTATTTCCTCTCTCTTTCAGGCATCTCCCAGCAATGGACCCAACACCCAGGAAGTCTCACAACCATCCCAGGACACACAATCTGTCAGTGTGATTTACTTCTCCCACATCATCCCCTCCCACCCTTCAGACCCCGGTTGGTTTCTCTCATTCACTCACTGCCTTTTGTCACAATCTAGACCCAGGCCATGCAAAGACTTTGGCAGAAAAGTAACTTGACCCACGTTGGTCTATGCATCCGAAGAAGTGGGCTGTAGTCCACGAAAGCTTATGCTCTAATAAATTTGTTAGTCTCTAAGGTGCCACAAGTACTCCTGTTCTTCTTTTTGTTGGTCCCTTTGACACTAACGGGATGTTCAGAGTTTGTGAAATCCTGGCTCTAATTGTGAGCTGTTGGGGCTGTTCACTCAGCGTCTCTACAGAGAACAGCACGACGGGGTGGTGTGTAATTGTCCCAAGTTACTGGGTGGGAGTCAAGCTGGTTCTGGGTTGTATTGTTGTATTATTCAAAAGGAACCCTTAGAAATTGAACCCAGCCCTTGCTGCTGTTGATTGCAACTGGCAGAAGGGTTACATCCACAACAAAACTGTTCAGACTAACAGTGGTTATTTTTGCTGCAAACAAGTCTAATCCCAATGGTATTTGGCATGGACCTGCGCTGTCTGGATCCCTTTTATGTGTAGACTCAAGGTGTTCAGGGTCCACACAGGGCTTAACACAGTGACCTCCTCTAGTGCAGACCAGCATCTGATTTTAACCCCTCATGGAGCAATACGGGAATTCAGAATCCCAGTCAGAAACCTCCTCTCCCTGCTGGGCCTGGGACCTTTATCAAGGTGTCTCCCTCCTAACAGCTGCACTTCATCACTGCTCAGTGCTGCTGTGGAGGCAGCATGACCTAATGGTTAGGGCACTGGTCTGGGCCTTGGGAGACTTAGGTGCTATTCCCATCTTTGCCCCTGATCTGCTGAGTGATCTTGGGCAAGTCTGTGCCTCTGTTTTCCCTTCCACCCTTTGTCTTGTTTATTAAGACTGTAACCTGCCCAGGGCAGGGATTGTCGCTCGCTGTGTTTTGTGCAGGGCCTAGCACAATCACGGTCAGATCTCATTTGGGGTCTGCTGAGGATACTGAGATGGAAATAGTAATAATAAACACTGTGGTACAAATCAGTAACAACAGCTTGTAGCTTCCTAGTCTCCACTAGTGACACTCTCAAACAGACTGGCCTGCAACTCATGTGCTTTATACCTCATGGATCATTTAGCTGCTTCTGTTGTGTAGAAAGTTCTCTTATGTCACCAGTGGGAGCTGGGAAGAGGATTCAGCTTCTCAGACAAAAATTCTCTCACATCAGACATCTTTAAAGTTCGTTGGGGGGGGGGGGGGCGTTGCCTTTCTTGCCACACTGCGAATCATTTACTTTTTAAAGCATCTGTCATACAATGAAGGCTTTACAAAGCTGAGTAATGCAGTTACACTGGGTTCCCTGCAACCATGGGGCCCTCAACAGACCCCAAGTGGGAAATGATTTGGGAAAGAATTCAGCTTCTCAGAGAAAGGTTTCCCACATCAGATATCTTTCAAGTCTTCATGCTGCATAATTTACTTTTTTATAGCAAGCTTCATGCAATGGAGGCTTTATAGAGCTCAGTGATGCAGTTACACCAATAGCTGTGATAGGCAACTTTCTATGAAATTAATCTGTAATTAAAATCCAAAGTTATTACTCTGATTAATAATTAAGTTATCCAAAATCTAAAGTCATTCAACTTAACAGCAATTCCTTACCTTCTACTCCAAGCAGCCTCCTCTATGGAAACCACAGTGTGAGCCCTGTGAGTCCCTGACAGATGGCAAACTAAACAAATAGAAGTTTGATCCTCTTCACAGAACGGTTTCAGAGGCTTCCAGTGTTCCTCACACACCCTCTCCCCTCCTGCTCCGTCCAGTGCCTCTAAACTCAGCTGTTTGGCTGTTTCTACTTCTATCACTAGTTGCCTATTTGGTCTGAAGTTTCTTGTTCCATAGTCTCTCCTTACTTGGAATAGGAGGCATCTGTATCCGATCCCTCCCAGCACTGACTGGTGCAGGCGTGGCTGAGATTGTGCCCACATTGCAGAGTGAAGGGTTCCATGAAATACTCCACACAGATTGGACAAGTAGCTTCATGCTGGAGACTTGCCACAGGGTTCTTTGGTGCCATGGCTCCTTTTGGACAGTGAAACAGAGTAAGGTTCACTTAAATTCACCCAACCTGCAATACAACTGGGTGTTTCCTTTCTGGCACCGACTCTGCTGTTTGCTCAGGGTCGAGCACCAAAGAACGACACTGGAGCAGAGAGAAGCTCAGCGGGTTGAAAGCTAGCTAATAATCACAGACTTCAGAGGTTCAAGGGACAACTGTGCAGCCATTTAACCTGAGTAGTACACAAACACTGAGTCAAACATGGCCCTGGGCAAAAAAATCAGAGTTTGTGTAAAGGGTTGTAGTGTTACAATCTACCTCTGTCAAAGGGCTATTTTTTATTTTGGGTAAATGCAATCTGAGTACAGCAGAAAATTCAGCAGGTGCTCAAACTATGTTTGAAAAGAAAGTACAAATGCTTGTTTGCGGGAAGGGGGAGTTTGTCGCTATTCATCTTTATACAGTGCAAGCTCTTTGGGACAGGGACATGTAAGCTACCCAGCAGATTTGTGTATTGTGTATTTTCTTGGGATGGTGAGCTGGGTACACTGTCTTCTTCCTGGCCTGCCACACACAGAGCCTCCAACTTGGGAGAGGTGAATGAGGACTATAGAGCAATAGTTCTTAGAGAGAACACCCATTGACATGCATGCTCCTCTCAGACCTATTCGCTCAGGCTCTCTGCAGACTCAGGCACATGGCACTGTATCCGTTATGCTTAGGTCACATTTTCAATCACAAGGGCTAGCAAGTTACATTTTGATTGTTGATATTTTGTGATGAAACCAGAGGTCTGTTCTAATCAGGCAACTCCAGAGATTGGTCCCTAGGGAAGAGTCCACACTACCTGTGCTTAAACCCACACCTGGATGTATGTTCCATGCAGCAGAGCAAGGGCTGCAGTGTTCACAATGAATGTGAACACCTGGCTGGCAGTGCCTGGGCTGTCAGGGGAGCGGTGTGCACAGCTCGTTCCTTCCATTCCCGGCCTGGCAGCAGCTTGGACACATCTTGCTTCAATCCTGTGTGTGAGGAAAATGCCTCACACAGAGCTCTAGTGCCCACATCTCCCTAATGAAGAGTGCGGGGTTGACAGGCTGTGACAGTGGCCAGGGCTCCCTGCACCTTCCCAGATGAAGGAGCCTACAGGGGAGAGATTTAGGTGGAGCCAATGATCAAGGGAGAAACTCCATGAAAGTGGGAGATTCTGTGGCTCTGAGACACTCAATCAGAAAAGGGAAGGATTGAATTAACCCAGATCCATAGTGCTTCCTACCTTGTATTTCTGCAGCCTCCTCCATGAGAACCACCGTGTGCGATCTGTGCTCAGGGGATCTCTCACAAACCTCAGACATGGCTTCCCCATCCTCCTCACAGAATAGATCCAGGGCTCTGCTGGTTTGAAATCCATCTTTTTAATTTTTCCCCACTGTATTTGCTAGCTGATTAGTTATTCCAGAGAGCCCCTTTCCAGATCCGGGCTCTGCAGCTGGGGCAGCACACAGGGTCATAGTCCTCCTCTGCCTGTGTCTCACAGTACTGAGTGATGCAGCCTTGGCAGAAGTTGTGCCCAAACAGTAGGGTCACTGGGTCTGTCAGATATTGCAGACAGATGGGGCATTTGGTTTCCTCTTGGATTTCCTGTACAGGAGTCACTGAGGCCATGGCTGCTAGGATCTCTGGTTTTCTGTTCTCTCTGCATCAGAAATGGTTTTGCTGGCCATGGGAGGTGCCTGTCCCACCTCATAGCAGCTGCACAGGTGCAGAATGAGGTGAAGAGAAAGGAGAGGCTGGGAGGTGGAGCAGGAGAAAGATAAGAAAACAAGGAAGCAGGAACTACATAGGCAAGGAACAGGAGCAGTGGGGTGTAAAGAAGCAGAAAGTGAATGAAAGGCAAAGTAGGGAAAGGAAACAAACAAACAAGAACACAAAAGTTTAAACTCAAGGTCTGTCTACACAGTCCAGGCAGGGGTTGGGGATTGGATCGTACGCCAGCAGCTGGCCCACGCCACTCTTGCTGCCACAGCCTTACTGCTATTGGAGTACGCTCGCTCCAGCAGAGTCAGCATGTGCACGTCTACCCGAGCTGAGAATCACACCTCCCAGGTGCTGTGTAGACGTCCTCAATCAAACTAGGATTTTCTTAATTCACAGTGGGGGCATCCACAGCCACACGCAGACTTGCACTGAAACAACATTAGGTGGGAACTAAACCCCACTGAGTGATGTCAGTGACAATGCGTGTGCAGAGGAGCCTTGGCTTGGCTGTGTCTTGCGGTACATCCAGCCACCCGCCTGCGAGCAGCCGGGCTACAGGGGCTCCCTCAGTTAAGGCCAGAGGCAGCTGGTCTGTGCTAGTGACACAGCAGGAAAACAGCAGCAACTAATCGAGAGCAACCCTTGAGCTGAAGGGTGAGATTATGGCAAATCCTCAAAGCTTTATGACTTTGCAGTCTAAAGGATACAGCCCAGCCCATTCACAATGCCAGCTGAGAGCTGGAAAGAAGATTTTCAGTTTAAACTTTGTAAAACTCCACACACAGCAGGGAAAGTAATAATCCTACCCGCCCCCACCCCCCCATTTTTTTCTCTGTGGGCCAAGACTGAGCTCATAATCACTATGTGGACTGGATTTGCTGGGGGTGTTGCCTGACCCAGAACTGGGCCCCGAGATGGCAAACAGGGGGTTTGTCGCCCGGTGTGCTTGGCACCAATAAAGACACCGAGGGGAGAAAGCAAGCCAAGTTTATTTCAGAGCTCTGAAATGGCACTAGGAGACCA